AAGCGTTTCGTGATCTCCTTCATACTCCTCTGCCAAGTCATGGGTTGGCCACCTCTCTGTTTACGCCACTCCGAATTGGGCATGGAAAACAGTACTCTCTTCGGCAAACGATGGTTCGGCATACGTAACACGTCCCAACCAACGCAGCTTCTGGTGCTGGACACATTCTTCAATGGAAGTACCCGTTACACAACCGAAAACGCACCGGTAACATCACAGTCATCATCATCAACATCATCCTCATCATCACCCTCCTCCTAATCGATTTATTTAGTCATATGGTTTATCCTGAAAGGATCACAAGACTATGAAAAAAGGTTGAAGCACACAACTATGATTTTTCGATTACAAAGTGTGCGAACTCACCTTAAATTGACCAACGGTGTTGATAACTCAGTCAATAGTTTGTAGTGTACATAGAACATCCCAAAGTTATGTTTCTAGGATTGAAAAAGAAAGAGTATAATGATAGATGGTACCATAAGTAATGAGTGGTGAAATGTGTGTACATGAGTCATGCAGTACTATGCCGGCTGGACTAGATAATTCCACATTCTAGTCCTGACAGCAACATCAGGATAGAAAGACGCAAGCGCAACAGCCAATATATGGAAGAATCGGTAGACGGACACGCAAATGCACAGAAACAAACAGCCAGACACGCGGACACGGGGACGAACTGACAGACAAGAGACACACAGAAAGAGGCGGACAGGCAGACCGATAATCAGGAAGGCAAGCACACAGACATAGAGACAAACTGAGATAAATTAGCCTACCGACACAGATAGATAGATAGATAGATAGATAGATAGATAGATAGATAGATAGATAGATAGATAGATAGATAGATAGATAGATAGATAGATAGATAGATAGATAGATAGATAGATAGATAGATAGATAGATAGATAGATAGATAGATAGATAGATAGATAGATAGATAGATAGATAGATAGATAGATAGATAGATAGATAGATAGATAGATAGATAGATAGATAGATAGATAGATAGATAGATAGATAGATAGATAGATAGATAGATAGATAGATAGATAGATAGATAGATAGATAGATAGATAGATAGATAGATAGATAGATAGATAGATAGATAGATAGATAGATAGATAGATAGATAGATAGATAGATAGATAGATAGATAGATAGATAGATAGATAGATAGATAGATAGATAGATAGATAGATAGATAGATAGATAGATAGATAGATAGATAGATAGATAGATAGATAGATAGATAGATAGATAGATAGATAGATAGATAGATAGATAGATAGATAGATAGATAGATAGATAGATAGATAGATAGATAGATAGATAGATAGATAGATAGATAGATAGATAGATAGATAGATAGATAGATAGATAGATAGATAGATAGATAGATAGATAGATAGATAGATAGATAGATAGATAGATAGATAGATAGATAGATAGATAGATAGATAGATAGATAGATAGATAGATAGATAGATAGATAGATAGATAGATAGATAGATAGATAGATAGATAGATAGATAGATAGATAGATAGATAGATAGATAGATAGATAGATAGATAGATAGATAGATAGATAGATAGATAGATAGATAGATAGATAGATAGATAGATAGATAGATAGATAGATAGATAGATAGATAGATAGATAGATAGATAGATAGATAGATAGATAGATAGATAGATAGATAGATAGATAGATAGATAGATAGATAGATAGATAGATAGATAGATAGATAGATAGATAGATAGATAGATAGATAGATAGATAGATAGATAGATAGATAGATAGATAGATAGATAGATAGATAGATAGATAGATAGATAGATAGATAGATAGATAGATAGATAGATAGATAGATAGATAGATAGATAGATAGATAGATAGATAGATAGATAGATAGATAGATAGATAGATAGATAGATAGATAGATAGATAGATAGATAGATAGATAGATAGATAGATAGATAGATAGATAGATAGATAGATAGATAGATAGATAGATAGATAGATAGGTAGTTAGATAGATAGATAGATAGATAGATAGGTAGATAGATAGATAGATAGATAGATTAGATAGATAGATAGATAGATAGATTAGATAGATAGATAGATAGATAGATTAGATAGATAGATAGATAGATAGATTAGATAGATAGATAGATAGATAGATTAGATAGATAGATAGATAGATAGATTAGATAGATAGATAGATAGATAGATTAGATAGATAGATAGATAGATAGATTAGATAGATAGATAGATAGATAGATTAGATAGATAAGATAGATAGATAGATAGATAGATAGATAGATAGATAGATAGATAGATAGATAGATAGATAGATAGATAGATAGATAGATGATAGATAGATAGACCTGATACGTAGCCAGATGGCCTTTTCTTTTCTTCCATTCTTATCGTGTACGCCACGATTCCATGGTTTCAATATTTAGGTTTTGCGCCCATATCACCTTCCTTGTATCTCATCTGAACGTAATCCGATCTTCAACTTTGTGGAGTCTAAATTAACACGTGGGTTACGCCATCCTATGGCCACTTTGCCCTGAGTCGGTGTGGATCCCGTTAGGAATCAGCAGATCCTAAACCGATGTATAGAAGCCGGCGTATTTCCACGATTCAAAGTCAGTACAGTTTTATTACTTTATTATTGTATTCAGAGTACCACATTTATTGACAAACCTCCATTTGAACGATTTGGCTTTTGGGGTTTTGCGCGTAACTCAACCGATTGTTGTAAACAATCAATACAAATACCCGTTTCTAACTACCGCGTCACGTATCTACTGATACCATCCGAAACCATCAACACTTCTGAGAAAACGGTGGTTAAGAATCTGAAGATGCCACCAGATATCATTCGTAAGCAGAGACCAGGTCTTGAAACCATACAACAATGCGACCCGTACTGTAGCCTGGCACACACGACTCTTGAGACTCATGTACCGACAGATGTCGTCAGTCACCTTTACATCACACTAGGTGTCGCGCTGTGAATCGGAGCAAAACAAGGAAGTGTGCATACGCTGATAATAGGTTTGTCGCCAAGAGCGACAAGCACCAAACAAAACAATCAAGGACAGCGATTAGAATCAACAAAATTAAAATCAACAAAAGTGTGGAACACTAATGTGACTTTTGGTGAGGGGTTGGGGATGACAGGTAGGTGGTGTGTATTGCAGTGCCTGGACGCGGTGCTTCTGAGCACAGTGTGGTGCCTTGCACAGTCATCGGGTGTGCTTAGTCTCCTCTAAAACCTAGACTGCTAAACGGAGACTTCTGAGACAAATTCGGCACTTGAATGCATATATGATCAAACTAACAACGTTCCTAATTTGTAGTACCTTAGCTGCATTTCGTTCGAGCTGCGTCTGGCGCGCATCTCAAATCAAAGTGTGCTTATCCGTTGTCATAACTCAGAAAGTTGTTGCATCCACAGCTGAGGAGAGGGCTCTTTTGAAACTGGCTGCCCCAAAGATTTTGTCATTTGCAGCCTTGGAGAGGACAGTCGTGTTACCTTTTGGTATGCCGCGTGATAGAGAAAGGCTGTAAGGTCATTTTGAATTCGTTGGCCCACAAAACCCGACACAGTCGAGCAACACAACAGAACGAATAGGTTCTATACTTCTCCGTCTATCTTACAACCATAAGATCACTAAATCTCCCCGCGACCGTTTTCTTTGTCCACCGACAGGAGGAGAGTTGGATCCCTGAAACTGACTTCCGGAATAGGGAATGCTGACGTCTAACATCTGGTAGCTTATAACCGATGATTTTGAAATATTCCTCCATAGCTCTTGCAAACGCAAACCACAATTGCCACCGTGGTTCGTTTTCTAGGTCTCTTGTGGATAGATTATCATTTTCTCCTGACCAGACGAAAGACAGAAAGGAGATTTGGAAAATAGACGAGATTATTTGCTTTTCTCAAGGCAACTGTGCGCCCAACGTCTGTGCTTTTATGTTGATTATGTCTTGACGTCACTCCAGTCCCCCGATTTTTTGCTGCACATTTCGCGAGAGTTTGGTAGCTTCAAACCGGAAAGGGCGGATTCTCCTCAGACAGTTCATCATCAGTATTTACTTCCACACCTGCATTATTTCACGCTTCTTGTATCCTACCTTCTGGTTTATCAAACCACTTTGTTTTATCAAGCAAGAATGCGTCAGAGGAACTGTCAAGAATGGCCATATTGACCTTAAGGATGGCTTTTGCAGTCGCAAAAAAGAAAAGCTGTGTTTATGTAATCCCTTGGGAGAAAGTATCCTGATTAATTGAGTTACTTTGTCTTTGTACTGGACCAATACAGTGCCGAACGTCGAGGGGCATAATCCTATTTGGCTGAACAGCGTAGTTACCACATCGATTGGCAGCACTTCAACTCACCTAACGCACTGCAGTCAAAGGCCTTTTAAGGTTGACTGAGGTAGTAATCAATAGTATGTTCAATTGAACCCACTGTGTTCGAAAGCGCCAGCTTCAACTGTCTGGACTACCACCGACTTCCGACCCTTGCTCAAGCGAAACGCTTTTAGTTGTAGGTGGTTGTGGGATGTTTAGAATTCACATCTACATCACTCTCGTTCGAGTAGCCTTCTTCCCTGCGTGGCGCAGTTATTTTGGTGAGTTCACATCGAGCCCGAGTTTCGCTCATGTTAGAGTTCATCACCGGTGCATATGCTTCCTCGTGTCGGGGATCAAACTCCGTAAATACTCCGCCTAAATACTCACTTGTGAACAGGCTAGACTAGTTTGTTCGGCGACGCGAACGAGGACCCGGTAACTGTCCTGGTTGCGGTGATCGATTTGCACGGAATGTCAGGGCTCCACAGTCAGGTAGAGTCATGGGTGCTGGACGACATTTGATCGACCGCAGATTGTTTCGAGGTTCATGGAATTCAAACAGTTGAGGTGCCAGTCGATTGTGACGGATTTTACCTGTTACTCGTGAGAAATTCGCTCTTGTTGTTTTGCCATCCGTGTATGCACGTTCCTCTGCATTTCTATTACTCACGTTATGAAAAAAGTGACTTGAAACGATGCAACCACAGCTGCTTGCCAAGTGTTGACTTCACAAAGGGTTTTCCAACCTGAGGGTAAGGCTACCCAATGGTGGTGCGCACATTTAATTGAAGAAACATATACTAAAGGAAGAGCTTTGGAGCAAGGAAATGACCCCACGACAGTCGGTTTGTTGGAGTGACGTCTGCGTATTTAAACAAAAGGTCAACGAAAGGCAGTCAATTACAATCGCACACTCTTAAAAAGTCTCCGAACTAAGCCACCAGACTAGCTGCCTCCTGGTGACTATCCACGTGATCAATATCCTAAGCGATCTTTATGAATCGACGACGGTCACGCGACTGTACTGCTGGTGTTATCCTGTCTACTCATCTCATATCAGTAGTAAAACAGTCAAAAACCCGGAACTGTGCAGCCCTACTTCTCGTTGTGCCCGGAATCGATCTGTCACGTTGAGCAACGGCGCACAGCCACCAAACTGACACCTTCTCTCGATTACTACCAACTATGGAATCACATGTTGAACCCGTGAAACCGTGTGCTTACCAGAATCAGGATATCTCCAATGATCACAACGAGGTGATGCACGATGTACGTTAGCAGAGGAACTCCTCTTGAATACCATATCATCGTGATGAGATCTCGGGGCGAAAAGAAGACAAAAGCACAATATGAGTTTCGGAATCAAATGGAATCATGTAGAAGTAAAAATGAACTATGTAACCCAAAGTAGGGTAGTAAACAAACAGGTGCGGCTGTCTGAGAGAACTGCAATAATGTGAACTCAGTTGTATGGGCATATGAGGTTCCAGATGGATTCTACCGGAAACTTTAGGTTTGCGGAACTACTCATACAAGTGAAGCCAAAGAATGCATACCCATTCTGGATAATATGGTCCGTGTCAAACAGTACAACGATGACTGAGCAACTCGGTTAGGCTTTGACCTGCCGAGATCATGTGACTGATGATCGATGAACGAAATATACCTACAGATTGTAATTATTCACTAATAGCTGTAACACCCTTCAGGTGCTTAGTTGCCACATCGCATGAGCGCTTGAAAGAACGTAAGGTTCTCAAATGCCAGACAGGAGCAGTCGAGACACCGAGATTGGATTCGAACCACAGACTTTCTGGTTAGTAATTTCACGCGTTAACTACTGAGCTACGTCAGGTTGTACATCTGCATTCAGTAACAAACAGACCATCTAAAACAAAGATCATGGACAAATTCCTTGGTGTAGATGACACTGTCTTTTTACGAAAAGTGTAGGTTACTCCGTGAAAAATACGCCCAAGTATTCTGTTAAAGAATCAGAGCGGATCTGACCAAATGAGTTGATCACTTCAACAAAGTATTACCCTCTGTATCACCCTCTGGGATGCTGCACCCTTGCAAATGGTTCAGAGATCTCGTACATAAACGGTCCAATTGTGTTTGATCTGCACAACTCCTGCTCAGAGCATGCCAACTTCGATACATCAGTCCGTGATACGTGTTGATGAATAGCTAAACGCCCAGAATGAACAAAGACGATCGTTTTCTACTCACGATGACCTATGGGATTTTACTTTCCATTCAATCGATCAATGTTCCATGCGATCAAGATTGATCAACAACATTTCAAGTGACTATCTTGCCCATTAACTTCTGCCCACGGGCTGAACACCAAAAATCTGGGAGAGAGGCTCGTTGTGGATTGTGAACAATGACCACCTCACTCGGCATGAGTCGACAAATGATTTTTCACTCAACTGGGAAGTTCTCATCTCTTTAAACGAACGTAGTCTCTTTTTATCTGCTTATTCTGTTTGTATTAAACATTCCTCAAGTGCAGTAGGTATGCCAAACATCACCTTTACGGAGGTGATTCTTACGAGTATGTCGTGAGCTTTTCACCAAAAGTTTGAGGGGTCTGGACATTAAGTGTTCCGGCGCCTCATGAGTCTACCGCTTTCCACAAAGTCAGAGCTAGAAAACCCTCAACGTCTGTCGAATTCAACCTGCCGTCAGATTTGCCGTCTAAGATAATGGTGTGGATCAATAAAACTCCGTTCTTTTTCGTGTACGCGCCTATTAGAGTTCAAGCATAAATCCCAAAGCCAGCAAGATCAAAGATTATTCCAGCGGGCTATTTGACCTCAAGAAGCCACACAGATAATGAAGCAATAGTTGACACCTAATTACGCACAACTGATTGTAGTAAACAGATTCGATCCGAGGACGGGATTAAACGAAGCCACAGTGAACTTTTAGACAGCGTTGCTGCTGAGTTCGTAAATTCCTGTGAATGCGGTGCACACTTCAATTCAGGACAATGTGCATACGTTGACCTCAAATATCAAACGCACGAAGACAAACCATATGTGTGCGAATAACGGCTTTGTATGAAGAGAAATTAATTGGTGATCAAACTCCAGAGTGTGAACAAGACTCAAGCAATTTGCTGTCTCCACAATCCACCTCCAGTCTGAAAGAATTTATTCATTCCTTAAACCATTCAGCGTGTGATTTTCAAATACGTATTCAAATGGGTTGTGGCAGAGAATAGACTATATATGTGAGCACAATATGATTTTATCGATCTACCGCAACGTGAACAAGTTAGTGAGAGCAAACACCGTCCACTTGGATTAGTCCCTCTGGGATGAGAACCCGTTTCTACAAAAAAGAGCATTTTTTCTCTGGCCTTGTGAAATTTTATCACTGGGTTATTGAGACAGATATCAAGCGGCCCAGAAGTGACCAACAAACTTCAGCAATTTTCGTTGTTCCGCATACAGAAAGGATCAATTCTCGGCTGACTGTCGATGGCCGTCTATCCCAAGGGAGGTGTACCTCTTTGACATAAATGTGTCTTCTTCTTAGTTAATATCAGGTCTTCGATACCAACGTTTCCCTTGAATTCTAAATTTGAATCGCTTTATCTACCCAGATTCGAATATCATGCATCCAAGCTTCTTGAAAACCACTTTAAGTCATTTAAACCTGATAACAATAGCAGTCATATTACCAATCTTTTCTTTAAAAAGTGGAGTAGGTTGGGTCTCCGAAAACTGCTATGAATGGGTACACACCTCAGAATGCTTAACTCTCACTAGCTGATCAGTCACTCATGGCCTAACAGTTAAGAGCTCAACCGCTGGCCGGAAGATCGCCTATTCGAAACTCACTACTGGGATTTCGTAGGATGAGCACCGCTGGTGATTTTCAATAAGGATGAAACGGTTGTGCGACAGTTGGTGACACTTTAGCTTAGGTTGGCATCAAATGTGCAACAAAATCTTCACTAGGACGTACATAGGTGGACCGTCTGTGAAATTCCACTGAATAGTAAGCAGAGAGAAAAGATTAGTTTGGTTTCCCATTGTTAGTAATATTTAAAACAGAATTTATTTTTCATTTTCTTTTATTTCCGCTGTGCTTTGTTCTGGAAATCTGGTGAACGATTTCTCGTAACCTGGCGACGTGGTGTTAGAATGTTAACCTTCAAAGAGCCGGAAAATGATTTCGGCCATTCCTGATATTTGACAAATGTAGGGTAAATCACTGGTGGTTGATCACGTGACTGTTCGTCTCTTTTTGACCTCGGCAACTAGTTTGTGAGCGTTTTAGTCGAGGTGACATTTTTAGTGCGCGGTTTGGCAGGTAATCATTCTTCATTCGCTCAGGTTTATGTATTCAGCCGGAACGCCAGCTGATACCTTTCCGTGTGACCGGCTGGCTGCGATACAAACTTCTCAGAAACCTACTGAACTATTTCAGACTGTGCTCTGTTGCGATCTCTGTCCCTTGCAGTTGATTAGTGTGCTGGGACCTCCTTATTTCTGATTGGTCGGTTTTCGAATTCTGTTGCAACGTAGTCTTCCTCACCTTGATTCGGTTGGTTGTTATGATGGTTCTCATTTTAGCTAGTTCTGATTTCATGATTTTCTCAGTTCGCTTGGCTGGCTGCATTTTGTTGTGGAGTACTGGGGGGACCCCACTTTTTATTCGTTTTTCGCATATATTTCCGTGTTAAGTGCTTCTATGTTCCTCAGTCTATTATGCTATCTGACATATTGGTTAAATATGTGCTCCAGTAAGCTTGGTCCTTAGTCTGGTGCTGGGTCGCCATCTCCTTCTGTATGGGATTCCTTAGATCTGCCACACAGTTTCGAGCATTCTGGTTGTGAAATTCTTCTGTCCTATAGTTGGCAGATAGAGTCAGTTTGAGTATGTTTGTTGATGGCTTTTTCGGTCAACTACTACGCTTTCATGAATCCAAATTCTTTCTTTGTTCCTAATTGGGTGGTACGTGGATGTAACTCCAGTCGAAATAGTGACCCTTTCGGTCTTCGAGTACGGAGACGGGTGAAAATTGATCTTGTCTCTAGATAGCAAGTTTGGCAGGTAGTTTCGCCCTTGGCTGTCTCACGGGGCGTTTGTCACAATCTTCTTATTAAGTCTTGCATGTGGCGTTGGTCTTCAAGATGTTCTAGGTTTTGACAGTCATTGCCTCAGTGTGTTCACTGACTTTCAGGCCATCATCGCATTACGCTGGTGAAACAATCTTGTAGCCATTACTGTGCAGAAGGGTTATTCATCTGCTCTATTTGTACTATTGAGTTGGTGTTACTCAATCTCTGTTTTTTCTGGTTTATTGTCCAGAAAGTTGTCTTCACGTGAATGTCTGAAAAAACACTGCATGAATTTTGCTGGACGGTTGTCGCACGGGCCGTAAACGGAGCGTAAACGGAGCTGAGCTCGCCCGCACACTTGAACTTCTTCAAGACCAACCATGGACGGTTCTGTAAATTATACCACTTATTCTTATCCAATGTATGGGGAAACTCCACCCTACTAAGCACAGGTAGTATACTACTGAAAACTACACTTACCATAAATCATGTACCCACAACTGACAGCCAGCGTGTTTCTGCTCAGACAATCCGTATTGCTAAAATAAAATTGAAAATGGGTAATCAAGCTTAGTATGAAAAGTTTATGACGGTATACTTGAGGTCAAACTTTGGATGGTAAAATGTAGTATTTAACAAACACGTGAACTGGGGTTCGTAATCTAACACCAACGTCAAGCAGGGAATTCAACATATTCCGGCAGGTTAAAGTTTTAACCATTTTAAATGGACCACTAGTCGAAGAAAATATTGCATCCGCTGCAGCTGGATAGGTAGGGACGATAGGGTCTACGTCCGATCGGTCATAGGGTGTGTAAACACGTTCTGATAGGCGGAATCTTTCAACCAATGAGATTTGGCTTATTCGGACATTGATTTTGAAAACTCTCTGGTGCGGTAGGTTATTTTACGACCTAAATAAACTAGATCAAATCCATGTACACAATTGTCTTAGCACTAGCTTATCCGCACTGACCGATAAAAGTACAAACGACGTTCAAGAGGAATCTTCACATGAAGTGAACCATGAAGCGACCCAAATCCATATAGGTTATCCCATCGATTTAACATTTGGTGACACCCTAACATACAAAATCCTTTGGCCGACACCTAACAATGATGCAGCTAGACTTGGCTGATTGGTTCTCCTTCAGCCTTAAATCGCTTTCTTGTCAAAAGTGAAATGTTGCCCAGCAACAAACCTACCGATTGCTACCAAACTTTTCCGAAAATAGTTGGTTTGTCGAAGAACACGTCGATAATACGTGTGAATAGTCAAAATGTCTACTCACCTGGTCAAAAGGTAGTATGTTCTCAGTCTGCGCATGGGTGTGCACGGTGGCTGCTTTGGAGCAATGAGTCCGGGTTCGAGGGTACATTTTTGTGTGCTATGTGTTTATGGCATTCTACGCAACCGGTGTTTATAGCCAGGTGAGATCACCCAGGTCACACCAACGTGTGGACCACAGACGTGTGTACACAGTACATTTAAGTTAAAATATCGCGTGGGTTTCATTGGTCCCATTCCTAACACCAGTTTTTGAAGTTTCTTCCTCATAGGTAGCTAGTTCACCCACTTAAAGATGTATCATTCATATAGTAAAACTGATAGCTTCTTTACACCCGTACGCTATCCACGTCTGATACGTAGAAGTCACGAAAGTGGTCCTTCGAGAGGTGAAAGTTAGAGTTTTCCGAATTTCTGTCTGTCATCGACTAGCTGCATTATGATCTTCCACTTGAGTGTCTGAAATTTAATAGAGTTCATCCATGAAGAAACCTTGCCAGACATCCCGTGAGAACGAACACATCGTTAGGGTCTTGCGACACAGATAAAAACCAACCGGTTGAAGTAGAACATAGGGTTGAGGGAATCTCGGGGACTGCGCCTACCTCGTGAGCCCCAAGAGGAGAAAAACGTGTCGCAGGTTGTTAAACCCGCAACCCTCTGAGCGATGTGTCACGTTTTGTCAGCCGTAAAATTTATTACAGCGGGTTGAGGGAATCTCGGGGACTGCGCCTATCTCATGAGTTCCAAGAGGGGTGAGACGGGTCTTGGGCTGTCAGGACGTTCTCAGCAACCCTCTGAGTGATGTGTCACGTTTTGTCAACCGTATAATTTATTACAAGCCTTTTTTACAATTAAGGATAGCTGGTTAGACGAGGTTTTTGTAAGCGTGGGGTGTAAATACAACACCATAATCTGATAAGTGATCGTGTTTTGTGCAGAATACGTCTGTCTCTACTCTGATGCCTCAAATAGTGATCATTACCTGACCGTTGTCTCTGCGAACGGGATCTGGTCAAGACCTCGAGGATTCAAGAGCACTCCGTTTACTGCTGTGTCTTACTTTCCCATCAACGATTGCTACCTTGTCCATCCTGAATGCTTGAACCTTGTTTTCAAGACCACGTGCGATATTCTGAAAGCAGGTTTGGGAGCTGCAAACGACAGATTAATGGTAAACCGTTTACACTCCGCTGCTCCAGTTCCGCATCCAGAACTCTGTCACCTACGCATGTCCGTTCGGAAAAAAATTCTCAGGGGTTGTTAGTCATGGGAAGACCAGCTCACAAATCCGTCATGAGTTTTTGAAAGAACCGACGTCCATGATGCTCACAAGTGCATCAAGGTGATGCGCGACACGAACTTTCTATACTTATCTTAAACTTAATAGTAACCGTTGGGACAGGTAGATAGGGTGACCATGTGACTAATCCGGGAATTTCCAATCCCCTGTTGTGTGGAATAAATGACACTACCATCACTTATTCTATGGCACTTCAGAGACCATATGACGATCCCTACAGCTAAACTGCCAATTTGTGTCGGTCCAGAGAACTCGTCGATGTATTTCTATTGAAAAAATCACCTCCCTTAGTATTTGCATACTTCAGAAATCCCTGTCACACCCATGGATTTAGCTCAAGAACCTTATCCGTGTGAGGTCAGCACACATTGATTGCACTATCTTGGCGCGAACTGGTTTTCGGTCATCTTTGGCGTGAGGTAATCACGTACTCGGTCGGTCCTGTGCCAACCTCATGATCTCCACAAAGTCATAAGTATGGATAATCACATGTATGTATAAGTGTATCTTCGGGTAGTTGGCGGTTCATCTGACTGACTGCAAAGAAATTAAGCAGAATACCATGCGATCTATTCCAGTTCTTAGCGTACCTCTTGATTCGAACCAGTTGTACTCATCATCATATGACAATGTATGGGTTTTCTTTAGGCATAACTGAAACCCCGAATTTCTCACCTCTAACCGAATACGAAAGGTGTCAGAGATATTCCACACAAAGAACTCACAACAATTTGTTCGTCCACAATTCATCGTGAAATAGTAGGCACCAAATGCTGCACGTGCATACGACGATTGCGTGAAATGTTGATGTACATCTGAAAAAAGAATAACGATAGGAACAATGGAAACACTGCGTTTTGACCTAAAAAAAGATTTTCAGGGATCCGTGAAAATACGTGACTTTTGGTCATAGGTTTATTTCGTCTGCAAAACTAAGTGAGCTAAAACACCGTAAAATGGGAAACACTGAGCAGTTAGTTACCTTGTCTCTATTCGAATTCATGTAAACAAAATAAATATCAAACGAATGACCGTAAAAAGAACTATCCTAGAGATGTCCAAAACAAGCGAGGTGATGCTGTAACTTTTCTCGTGGACCCTGATTGTGAACATTGCGTTGCACTCCCGAGGAGGGTACTCATCTTCTAGCGAAGGAATTATGTACAGTGCTCACAGGCAACTCAGCTTAAGAGTCTGACGGTCGCGCGGGAAACGCCAGAATCTTGGGCTTCAAGGCTACATTCCAGCGACATAGGTTGACAATTTATTTTCTGTGTTTGGCCAGTTTGACGTCAGCGGTTCCACGTAATTTGTTTCACAACCTTTAGATTCCTCGTAGCTTTTAGTCCGTTTGCATGGAACTTATCGATGTGTTGTCTGTCCGCTTACCTTCCTACGGTGCTCTGTCTTCGGTCCGAAAATTTCATTCAAATCGACCCAGTGATTGGCTTGCTACGGCACGGTTGTGGCTATTTGCTTCCGAGTCGTGACACATACATTCCCCAATGAGGCGGTTGCTTTTGACAACCTCTGAGGCAGAAAAATGCAGCTACAACCAACATCTGTCTCAAGTATGAACGAACCGGCTTGTTGTTGTTGTTGTTGTTGTTGTTGTTGTTGTTGTTGTTGTTGTTGTTGTTGTTGTTGTTGTATTAGCTGATAGCACTCACTAACCTTGACCGCCCTATCATGATCATCAGCAAGAAAGTATGGTCCAATAGCAACACGAAGGAACGAGTGTATAAATGTTTAAACAACTGGCTCCATCAAAAAACTACTGTAGGTTAAGTGCGGCGGAGAAACGTGACGTTGAATCAGAAAAAAAACGATTGTCTCTGTTTCATTGTCCACAGGTACGCTGTGCACTTCTTTGGTGCGTGAAAACGATTTGTTAGCAGAATGTTCTTGAACAACATTCACGGTTGTTTGTCGTTCATCTGCGGCACTTTTTACCTGGGTAGCTGTCGTTCAACGCGAGGTTTTCACGAAGGTCAAGACACTGTCGGGTTTCCCAAGCCTGGGCCAACGAAATCGAAAAACCAGGGTTGAGTTGGAATCGGGGAGCAAAAATGTTAAACCACTAATCTTGCACGAAGCTTCGTTTCTACTGATAATCGTCGTTCTTAGTGAATCCTATCGCTCGTTTGAGGTTTCATGCTGTAAATAAGTCCAATTTGTGTTGAAAAACAGAAAAATAATATTCAGCTGTTTTTATCGATATTAAAACTCGTCAGCAGTAGGCAGTAGTCATGAGACTTCAGAGATTTTAGAAAACTTGACCTACCCGTTATTAGTCTGGGCATAACTGTTTGGCCAGCAAGGGGCTGATCAGAAGTGTGATTAACTCACATCTGGACAGGACCTGCCGCCACTCGTCCTTCACTTACGGAGCGCTAATACCGCGGCTCCTCGAGTAGCGGCTTCCCAAGTGTAAGTCGTATATCGTGCGCAGCAAAACATCAGACAAGATCACATTATATATATACTGTATACCGTATGCATATTCCTTCGGATCCACAATGGTGCCCGGGGGCTTGCGTGCTTCACCACACTCGGCTTAAACATAATTCTCTAAACATCCCCCGGCGTTCCGTAATTTGAGCACGTTCGACCAGCAAATTCAGCCGTTCGCCCAATGGTACATTACAACATAGCATATACGACCAAATACATTGCAGAACTTAATGAAGTTATGTGTAAGTATGAGATGGCCAGTACAATGGAATTCCCCATTCATGATCTGCTCTCTCATCAGGCGGCAACATGAGAGTTCGTTTTTTTTGTTTACTGTTTAAATCCCATACATATGACCGCACTTGCTGATGAGACTTAATAAGAATGAAACAGGTGTGCTGTGCTCCTCGGTCTTTCAGCAGAAATTTTCTTCACTTACAGGACAAAGTCCCAATTGGAAATCACCAAATCTCCTCAAGATACCAACAATCGATAAGTAACTCAGGGGAAGAATAATATTCACCCAATGAATGGAACTTCGATCTGAGAAGTCGTCATCCAGTCGCAACTTGTGATCACGTGATGTGGATTGTGTGACCGAAGAGTGAGTGGCGCTCCATTCTGTCAAAGTGTGAGTTAATCACAATTCGCGGGTTCAGAACGCCCAACTGCTGGTGATTCCCGATAAGAATGAAACAGTAGTGCGGTGACGAAGTTCCTCTCAGCTTTCCAGCATAGGACGAAATTTCAATTTGAAATTTTCAAATTTGCAGGAACCACCAACACACCATATTGTTGTCGTAATGAGTGCCTGTTTACTCAAAAATTGGTAGTACATGTGCGATAATCCTCATTCTCAGGGAGCAAGGACACCACAAAGAAATAGCTGTTTTGTCCAGTTCTGAAGTGACTACTCTATTGTGGTTTTGACCCAAATCGGGATTTACGGGTTATACGTATTAGGCAGTTGGTAACCGCGTTGTATACATGCAAACAACACGCTTGTGTAAGTCAGCTTTTAGCACCAGATACGGGTGAAAAATGATGCTCATGAGTGTCACATTATTCAACGACCTATCACATGTTCGAGCAATCATCTCAACCGTGTAGAGCTGTCATCCTTTGGATGCTCGCTAAAACACAGTGAATAACAGAGTGCGGTGCTATGGGGCATGCAAACCACACGAGCACCAAGAATCCAAGCAGCTTTGTGCACTACGTATAGGTAGGCTGATTTAAATGTATGACGTACGGTAGACATGATCAACAGCGAATCAGAAAACACGCGAGCCGATCGATAGTATTCGCTAATGACGCTAATGGACCCCGCACGATAAAGCTTCATGAAGCACGCTACCGATTGGACACAGGGTGCACACAGACGAGATACATACCACGCAGATTAGGTGGGACGATCCAATCGAACACAGCAGCCGCGAGATCGTCTCTAGAGGGAACTGGATCAAGGTTTTTCTCACATGGATGATGACATAAGGGCTGTATGAGCCTATTTAGAAGACAACTACCCCAGTCTTGTGATATACGGGTGCTAATGCAAGGGGTGCTTTAACACAGTTTACAACCTCTGCCTCAAATCTTACCAACGAGAAATGACTGACTGAGAACTAATAAATAGATGAATAAATAAATAAAAGCATGGTGCTCTGAATTTTATGATAGCAATGAAAACAATTCAGCCGTCTACATGAAATGCGTGACTGGTATGAATGTGTATCATAGGAACAGCCAGAAGACACAAGGTGGGATATGTGCACAATCAACGACCTACAGTTTGAGCTGGCTGATGGTTGTGTTGACCTGTCACTCTACAAGGTATGGAATATGTTCCGAGATCCTGGGATAAATAAGTTGAGCATCGGTAGTTGATCAGCTGGCCTTTGATCTGTTCGCCAAGCTTGGCAACTGACTTGCAAACGATTCGTCGCCAATATTGGGTGAGTTACAGCCCCCTGATCCATTACCAGTGATTGCACCCAAGCTACCAATAATCCAGTGCATTACCAATAAGTTGATTCGTTCTGCCAAACAGGTAGTATCGCAACTGTAAGTAACTTCATAAGTGATGCACAAGTCGCAGTGATCAACCAAACTTTGGGATCTTCTCTGAAACGTTAGTATCTGACACACCCGGGCGCACTTCAGCTGCTCTCAGAGTGCGGTTTAGACCTGGACGAAGAATCAGCTTGATATTACGGGATATTACGGGATCATCCCCACGTTCAAAACATAGTGCAACTCTCATCCTTTTTGGTGTGGTTGTTGGACTGGTTGAACATCATCATCATCGACAGCATGACATCAGTGTTCAACACCGATGCTTCACTGCCGTACAACCATGATTTATTTGAAAGCCTTATTGTAAAAAAAGAGTAAAGGTGGACGGGGAAGGGACTTAGTGCTAGCTTAACACAATCTTTTCGAGGTGGCTATACCTCCAGACATTCACTCAGACAATCTGGATAGAAACTGACATCGGTTGGCAGCCATATCTTGTAGTGTCTCCAACCGGAGTGAGTGAAGATCACCCGGTCCCCATCCTGGAAGGCCAGTAGCACCGACAGCACCCAAGCGTCTCGTGATCTCCTTCATACTCCTCTGCCAAGTCAAGGGTTGGCCACCTCTCTGTTTACGCCACACCGAATTGGGCATGGAAAACAGTACTCTCTTCGGCAAACGATGGTTCGAAACACATGTCCCAACCAACGCAGCTTCTGGTGCTGGACAGTTGATTTTGTTACATTAGATAGTCGCTGGCTAACGGAATTCTTTTTAGCAGGCCTTCACTCGGATAGCTGTACAGACAAGTCAAGAACTGTTAAAGGACTTTTTGACTGAGTCTAGCATGTAGGCCATCGGCAAACGGCCACACAAATGCTGACGACTACTCATCGCCTCACGATGAAGTCTCATCTCTCATCGTCAAGAAGACCCAGACGATTCATTCGTTTTGTGTATAGACGAACTGGTGTGAGCCCTATTCACGCATGACAAAAATGGAATGATGATCGGGGGTGAAAATCAGTGCTATCAACGTAGCGCCCGTAAAAGGATGCACTTTCATGATATCCTTCAACTGAATGTGCTGCACAAAGCGACCTCACGGTTCAGTGTGTCTTTTTTCAAAGGAGCACTAATCATAAAGTAGTTGAAAACTTTTCGACAGTTCAAGACCGATTTTTCCCTTCTTTGGACCCACCAGATAGCCGCAGTCCTCAAGTTGCTGTGGTTTGAAATAGAGATTCATCTGTGAGTCGGCTGAGGCGCCAACTTAATTTCTAAGTGAGTATCCATCTGCACATACCTGTATATTTATTCCAACGATTGTCTAATGCCTTAAAGG